GGGACCCCAACAGGTCATCTTCAACCTCCTGCTGAAAGGAACTCCTTTGCTTAGATAATAAATAAATAAAATTAATCATCAGTTACACAACAGGTTCTTACCACGCACCCAGTGAATGAAATCACAGGACAGCCGGGGTGCTAGGACGTCACAACTTTCTTCTGTATGTCATTTCTTGCTCTGAGGCTGAGGTGCCACACGCCCAGCTCTGAGGGCAGTTGAATCATCAAGTCCCGGCAGGAACGGACCCTGCTGTCCCCAAGCCAAGAACCACCCCTACCACAGCCTGGGTGTGGAAGGTTGGAATCTTGCCTAGCTTTGTCTGTCCTTGAACCTGTTTCTATATCGATCTTAAAAGGAAGAATGATCACTATTAGCCCTTAATTCCTTTGCAGTAAAGTTTATGGCTACTGAGGACTCAAAGAAACAACAGGGGAAGACAGGTTGGCTTCACTTTGGTAGCACCCAAGGAAACAGAAACGCAGCAGTCTGCTCCAATTGGATTCCACTGCAGGTGACTAGCAAGCAATATGCCCTGCAGACAGTGAGAACAGAGAGCATCACCTCTATCACAGGAATACAGATTAGAGAACGTTCCTCCCAGAGCTGCCATCTAATCTGGCAGCTAAATTCACTGCGTAACACTGAAAGAAATACACATAGACTTTTTACTTTAGCTGCTTTGCATTTTTCAAGTAACATATTTCAGAAGGTGGCTGAGAATAATGTTGAGAGCCTGACAGCCTTAGAAATCAGGAGAGCATACAGTGATAACGTTAGATGCTTTGTTAAGATGTATAAAAACACCATTTGTGATTAAAATAGCCTGACTCCTTCAACAACCAGCTACAGCCACAAATAGGTCTGCGACCATCTGAAGTTTTGGTTCTTTCTACCAAATATCAAAGGTACCATCCAACATTCAGAGTTTGTTTGGGGGAGCATATAAATAATAAAACTGATTAAAACAGAAACCTCATCGGAAACCAATTTTGTCTTCAGCTCTTAGCTGAGAAAATACCTAAAATAACCATATTGGTAACTGTATTGGCAAACACTGCTCTTAGATGGAGACTGGATGAACTAAATGATGGCCCAAACCAGTTTAAACAGTACAGCAAATATTAAGAAAAAGTCTAGGCTTGGCTGAGCCCATCAAATTAATACCAAATCCATCTGGAGTGTCTTGCACAATTATTCCTGTTCTCTAACGAGCTCATCTGAATACATAGGCAGCATCCTTTTGCAGGTGCTGATCCAGTTACCACCTGTCTTCCGGGACTGAATGGAAGATTTGATTTTGATCCAAGTCTGGAAAGTGCAGACACCTGATCAGTACTGGCACTGCCAGGAAGCGTGCCATCCAGAAACACCTTGCCACGAGGGACTTATGAAGATGGGCATGCTTTCACTTGGCTTTAGCTGCCTTCCCAATGATTGGCAGAAGCCTTTTATTCTGAAAAAAAAGGAATGTATCTCACCTGGGAAAAAAAAAAAAACCCAAAACTGAACATAATGTTGTAGTGAGTATCAATAAAGATTATCCAGTGGGGTCCCTTCTAAATGCAACAGTGATTGGGTGATGAACTTCTGCAGCCTTTATTTATGGCTGATGAAAACTGATTGACTATTAGGAATTCAGACAAGTTGTAGCTGTTTAAGGGAAGAGGTATCATAATTAATTATGGTAATATAATGAATTAAAAATTAATGTTTAATGCAAACAGCATTAATTCCTGTGGTTGTTTTTCTGTAATAGATAGAGGATCCAATACCCCTTTTCTTATTTATGCAGTACGTAGTTCTATTTTCTATCAATATCTGCTTTAACAAGCAGGTGGAAGGGCAGGAAAGATTGCCACACACAGAAATCTGCGGTTCTAAATCTAAGGCAATTATATGCAGTTCTAGCTCCTTTTGAAAACATAATTAATGACAACTGATAAGTGGTCGAATCATGACAGTTTGTTCAATTGATCATTTTAAGAGAAAAAAAATTAGATGCCTAAGTTGAACAAAAGACCTTCTAATTCTTACATGTGATTCTGTTTCAGACCAACAAGCAAGGAATTCCCCACTGAGGTATCCTGTACTTCTCACTCCACTTTCTCTCATGTAAAACCCAAAAATCTGCCTACACACCTTACAGCAAGGCTACCTAGGTTAAAGTAGTCAGCATACATGACTATTTTAAAAATCCACCTCATCGTATTACTGATTAGGACAGGGATATGCAAAAGAGGGGAAAAGGGAGTGTGTGTGTAGAGGGAAGCAACACACTGACTTCCATATGAACCATTTATTGAATAAATACATGCATCATAATGTAGAATTACATGAGCAAAAAAGGCAATCTGTACAAAATTGATTACCCTTTGTTCTCATTTCAACTCTCACCATTTGCTGCAGCTCTGATAAAGGATTCAAGGCAGAAAATGAAAATTCTTTCAATCCACATCCAAGTGATATGCATGCTGATTTGAGTTCGGGTTATACCACTGCTATAATTAAGAAAGCTGGTTTTCTTGTCAGTGAAGCAGAGTAATTCTAAAAACAGTTTCAATAGTAGAGAACATGTGTTGGTACATACAGGTAACAAAGCTTATTTTTAGCCATTTCTTAAACATCTTCATATGTTCATATTTTAAGGCACAGGGTAAGCAAGAACTACATGAAAAGCTATCAGTTGATATTGAATACATTGATTTGATAATGAGGTGCAGTTTTTGCCCAGAGAAAAAATTATGTTCGTCCTTCCTACTTCCATATAAACAGACCAATCAGAATTTGGTAACTATGATACAGAGGTCTGTTTCCACTATCAAAAGAATCAGTCTCATCTAGGCAGTCATATTCTGATCCAAATTCACTCAGGAGAACACTTCTAAGGAGTTTGGCATCCAGGACTGCTTACAGTCAATGGGAATTACTGTTACTGAATTACAATGACAACTCAATCTCTTAATTTTAGATACCTAAATGGGAACTGGGCTCTCTTAAGAGCCTATCCCTAATTTTAGGTTGTGAGCTATTTTGGAAACCTGTCCTATATACTTTATTCAGTTACTCACTTTGTGCTATCATCTCACATTTACCCAAACACAGCATTTTTTCCCCCCTCGAGACTTTAGAAGACAAAATGTGCACTTTTTTTGTTTAAGTGCAGCATCTTCTATCATCTGTCCCCAGACTTCACTTAAGACTTGAAACACAGAATCAGTCTAATAGCCCATTTGTTGGCTGTGGATCAAACTCTGGAGAGTCACTGGCCAAGATGTACAGTAAAAGTCCTTTTGCCTTGGTTCAGCCCAAGGTAGAAGACAATTATGCTCAACTGCTGCACTTAGACCTCCTTTATTTAGATCAGGTTTTGCTTTCTGCATTTTCATTGCATTAACAATAATTCTGTATTTCCATTCTTAACATTTTAATGGAGTACTAGCAAAGAAAATATGTCTTTCATAATATATTACATTTTATATGAACAGATGAGTGTGTATATATATATATTAGATACTCATACATTCCAATATAGTGAAGCCTTCAAATGGAAATGTTTTCTTACAATGAACCTCTCTCTATTGCCCAGTCCATCAGAAAGTAACAGCAGCAAAATTTACAATGTAAGTTTGTTTGCTGAAATTGTCTTGTCTAAAATGTGGCAATAAGGAGGCCATCACTGTATAGAGGTGCATGTGTGCGTCTCACACACATCCGTGACAAATGTTCGTGTTAAACTGAATTGAGACAAACTGAAATGAGTTAATTCTTAAACTTGAAAAAGACAAAAAGCTACATCTATGGTAGGCACTTTGGTACATCTAGTAATGTAGGCATATTCTATATCTAGAATTAAGGTTCTGTCAGTAATCTTACAATAAAGCTAATTTCAGGAGTTTATTGGTTTTTAAATATTCTTTAAAATTCTTTCTTGGCTGAGAGATCATTCTAGAATCCTAGCTAAATAATATACTTTGTCTGTCTAATTGCATACGTATCCAAGAATGAGGGCGTTGGCTCCGAGAGAGCTGAACTGTTCTCTTGGATTCTTAATGCACATTTTTATAACAGTCTGAGAACACTTGCCAGAAAAAGAAAAATCAGTTCTGAATAAAAAAAAAATTCCCTATAATTCATAAAATTAGAGTTATGAGCTCAGCTGTTTAGGCTGATACTCTCCCTTCAACTCTCAACTGTCGACTTTTATCAGTTTGTGCTAATTGTATCACTGCTGTAGTCTTGCAGCAGACTACGGCAAAGCTTCAGCAGAATGCAATGATTTCTCAAGAAACCTCTGTGGACCACTGGAGTGCATTTTTTTCATGCACCAAACACACTATGTAGCAATGAAGCAACTGTAAAGACAGCCAGTTTCAACTCAGTTTCACACTTTCTTACCTATTGGGTTTCCATTTTAGTATTACAGAAAGTATAGCATAATATACTATTTAGCATAGTATTGTATAATAAAAATAACATGTGTCTTGTACATATGCCTACTATATGAACTTATATTGCAAGCTGATTTGTATACCTTTTAGATCAGTGAAACAAGGCAGTAAGGACAGTTCTAAGTGGTCAGGTATTTTTTGTTTATAATACAGAAAAATCCATGTCCTCATACCTTCAAAAGGTCACATGTCTGGTACAGGAATAAATAACAAAATCCAAGTGAACCTGTATAATAAAACCGTACTGTTTGTCATGTTTACTCCATTAAATGAAAACTCAGATTTAGAAACTGTGATTCATGGACCTCATCCTCTATTTATACAATATTTATAGAATTTTCATTTTTGTTTATAATATTCTATAGCATGATTTCCCAATAATACATTTATATATAAATATTAAAGTGTTAATGTTTTGTACATTTTAAGCTAGCCCCACTGGGCCAGAAACACAATAAAGTAAAAATGTTTTTCTGCAGTTTGTTTTTGAAGAATATCACAAAATGATTAAGACCATTGTGCTGCAAAGACAGAAGAGATTCATCTGAAGAAATTAACATGCATTTAGAAGAAAATATCTATATCCTTTATCTAATTTTCTTGTGAATTCAAACCAGCATGGAAGAATTATAAAAAAATAGTATATATTTACATGGTACAGTATACCTTGGTGAAATATAAAACAAGGCAGGAAACCAGCAGAACATAATCTTTTCACTTTCTAATAGGTACAACCATCATAAAGATCAATTTAAACACAAAAGGTTACTTTACTGTACTATTGCACATTACAGTAACACATAAAATTGTTTAGCAAATTAAAATACAAAGTTTAATAATGAGAAAGGCTATGTCTACATAAAATGACCAAGTGTTATAAAATTATTGGGGATGTCTCTAAGAACTAAATCAGTAAAGCTATAAAAATAATATCGGTACATCTGTGAGAACAATGCTTTAAAAATATATAAAGGTTGGCAAAAGTATGTGTATTCCCTTTATCCATGGGCTTAACTTGCACCCTGTGGCCTTGTACCATCTTCTGTTAAATCATACCTGAAAATGAAAAAAACAAAGGAATTTTTTTTTATATGTAGCATCTATCATTAAAACTATTATTAACACACCAGTTATTGGTATGTAGTAGTATTAATAAAGGAAATCTTATACTTACCACTGGGTCCAGCCTTTAGCAAGTTCTTCAGATGCCAGAGGTATTAATAACTGTGGAAAGTTAAATTAGCAATCAATGCATTATGTTTGTCTTTCATTTTAGGTCTTTTAAAGATCAAATCTGACAATCCTGTAAACTACAGTATAAGTAATGCTATTATTAAACAATATCTTTTACATCCTTGTCATCATAGCTATCTGCTATCTGCCTGACTTGTAGTAAAGTTTCAAGTTGCTGTTTTTGACCTAAAAAATCTATACACTTTAGTGATACGGTCCCAGAGCACCTCACAGGCTTAAATTCTGAACATGGCATATCTTGGCAATGGCAATCAGCAGATGTGTTTATGCTAACAGCCTTCCTGGTAAACAGGAAAATTAAGAGCACCGTTCACCATGAACTGACCACAATTCTGGTATCTCTCATCCTCTTTACAGAGCTTGAACATGGCAATTTGCAAGGCTGTAGGAATTTACTGTTCCTTTTTGCATGCTCCAAATCACATGTGTAGGAAATAGAGTGATTTAATGAGTGCCTATAGAACAGTGAAGCTGTAAACACAATAGCTGGTTTTGGCATTGGGAACATCTCCAGTAGCAGTTCTTTCTCATGGATTTTACAATCTGGAATTTTAATTACTAGCCATACATTTGTTCTGTGTGCTTCTCTAAGTACTCTTGCTTGTCTTTCCAATTTTGTCTGAACATTTTCTGAGATATCACCTGTTTTCTACTGTTTATTTTCTTTCTCTGACTGTATGATTAATAAGGCTGACATGCAGGTTTCTTTTTTTACCATGAGCCTCAGAACTTACTGTTCTCTAGGAGAGATTACTGCCTCATCTTTTGATGTCTGTCTCTGCAGTTTGTTCCTTCCCTTGCTGAAGCTTGACATCTAAGCCATCTATGATTTTTAAAAGCTTGGTACCTGAATCAGGTGCTTCAGTCAACACTAACAAGCTCATATCACAAGAGGATTTTAGTCTTATACAATAACATGCTGTATTAACAGAATTTGCTCGTTGTCAACTTACTTTGCCAAGCAGCCCTTTATCTTTGGACAAGAAACCACCACTGTTCTTCACTGCTACATCTAGTGTTCTTCTCTGTACTTCAGGCAGGGAAACACTGAAATCAAATCTGACAGGCAAGGTGATACTTTAGAGAGAATTTTGTACCTGAAGGGCAAGTTCAGTTCCTACAGCTAAACAACAATTCAAAACATAACCAAACCATCCGCCTCCCCAAACAAAAAAATGAGGTCTGAGATAAATGAAGAAAAAATTCCCAATGTTTTGCCTAAAATACTGTGATCAATATCAACATCAAATGTTTGAGACTTCTGTTACCTTTGGTCTCTAGAAGCCGCTGATAAAACAAAACAAAGCAAACAAACAAAACCCAAACTAAACAAAACAAGGAAAGGTGAACCGCTGACTCGGCAGAGACAAGAACAAGGAATCCTACTATCTTGACAGCTCAGTATCACTATTCTCCAAAAGGGAAAGACTGGTCAGTCTTACTGATCCTCAGTCCTCTAGAACCAGAGCTCCTTTTCTTTCCTGGCACACCAAGGAAACCTCTAACTTTTAAGGAAGAACGCATTTTGTTTGCTAGATCTGAAGCTTACAGAAAGTGGGGGCAAGATTATACCACAATCTACACCTATTTGTCACTACAGTTCTTAAGCAGCTTTATTGCTTTGCAATACATTTTACTTGGAAAGGCACAGTAAAACAAATCTATTACCTGGAATAAACAGGAGAGAGCTGCAGTACCAGAAAAACCTACCAGAGCCTCTAACTAATGATTTACAGAGTCCCCTTGGACAGAATGGGCTGAAGTGTTGTTTTCCCCAAATTAAGTTTCTGTCTGTAGAGAAAGGTGGTCTTTATTGATAAGTGATGGGTGGGGGAGGAAGGGGTACATGTGTGAGGGAAACCACCAGCAAAAAGCTGAGTGCAAAGGTAATCTGCAAAGTGCAAAGGATTTTTATGCAATATAATGTTGCACAAGCTTGCACAACTTCCAACCTACAGGCCAGGATATAACCTATGAGGAAATTTCCTGACCCCCTGGATGCTGAGAAGTACCACCAAGCAGATTGACCGAGTAATTTGATCATGCATAGACACTGGCTGGCCAGTCCTACCGAGGAGGCAGCATCTATCAGCCAGGCCATCGGCCAGTCAGAATCAACATGCTTCCTGGCAGGAAGGGATACCAACAGCATTGCCCAGCTAAAAGGCACTCATGTTCTGACCACCTGCCAGAAGAGTGCACACTGCTTTTTAGCTGCCAGCACAAAAGGGATGTAACTGACATAGGATGAGGCAGAAAATAAGAGAGAAGTGGCTGGTAACAGAGTAAGAAGGGCTATAGTGGTAACAGGGAATAGAAGGATGGGAAGAGCTATTACAGCACAAGAGAGAGATGTGATCAAGTCTGGTGGTGACAACTAGGAGTTTCAGCAGATCATCCATTCAGGTAAGCTGAGAAACCTCGATTTGACAGCTTTGTAATTACATGATATAAAATTACTACACATAGTTTAGAACATACATTTGATCGAACACTGGGTTTAATGTCTTCTTTGATACATGTGTTTTTCTTCTTCCTGATCGTCTCTTATCGGGCAATAAATACATTCGCACATATGGATCAGATCCTTCTTCTGAAAATGCTATTAGATTTCTGTGGCGAGTAAAAAACAAGGAAAAACACTTAGAAAATAAATGAGACATTGCTGAATATAATCACTACTATCACTTAATTTAGTACATGAATCAATTGTGGGATGTCCTGCACAAAGTATGATGCGCAGGATATAGCGCATATATAACAGCAGTGGAAAAGAAAAACAAAAAAAAAAAAAAGAAAAAAAAAAAAAAAAAAAAAAAAAAAAAAAAAACCGAGCGGGAACTAGAAAAAAAAAAGAAAAAAAAAAAAGCCGAGCAGTGACTTGTACAAGATCAGATAAATGGTGACCGGACAGCACAGGTGGGAATACAATGTTTCTTAAATTCCAATTCAAAGTTTAGCTATGGCTTTCCAAAAATCATGTCGTTTTGTCATTCCATGAAAAATTCAGTCTCTTAGTTTTCAGACACTGCTGATAAAAATCTACATGCCGCTTTCATTTAAAATTTGACAGAGGCATACTAGACAGATACAACATCACAGCAAAATCTTCAAAAAAGTTTTTGCTGATTCTGAGTATAGCTCTGCATGTTTTTGTATTTACACATAATTACAATCAGTACGTTATTTTAAAGATAACAAAGATCATCCAGACAACCAACTCAAGAGCATAAGTCAAGACAGGACAAAGTTTACAAAGAAATAGGCACAGAAATGGAATTTGGTATTTTATGCTCACCTGCAGGCATGCACTACCACAATCAGTTTGTTTCTTTGTGAACTATGACGAATTGTTAGCTGAATCTGTCCTAACGGAGACTGCCCCAGAGTTGTTCCACTGTAGGAAAAAGTAGAACATCATGCTTAGTTTTTAAAACACGTGTTTAAAGTAAGACCTAACTGAAATACATACTGAGTAGTTCTCCCAGAAATCATGTATTGTCCATTTAACTTTTCACTAGACCAATGTGAAAGAAGAGAGCACACACAAGTTAGAACATGAGCATATCTTCATCAGTTTCTTGTACTTCAGTTCCTTGTCCAACAGCTCTACTCTCCAAAATAAGCTAGGTATTTTTGTCAGTTTAGATGTCAGCTGCTCTTCAGTACTTTGAAAACCATTATCAGTACAGAACTTGCTTACTCTAAAATAAACATTAAAGCAGTATCTAGGAAATTGGAAGAATAATGGTGCAAACTGCAATGAAAACTTCAGTGATGGGCAACTCTTACCTCCAGCCAGCAACCAATTAGAAGACCAGCTCATTCTTTTCTAAATTCTCTAACGTAAAAATATAGATATTCTTGGGATTAAAATAGTGCTACTTAAACCCTCTTACTGTCTGAAAAGCTCAAATCACAGTATAAACACAGCTATTTTACTTTTCTGTAGCTCATGCCACACTGAAAATAAGATTAGAATCAATTTACACTTACGAATACAGGTCATGCTTAAATAAAAAGCAAGCAATATGTTTAAGAATTTCTGTTTTAAAGAATGACCAGTATTTGAAGAGTTCCCTCATCTCTATAAAACACTTATTTTAGTTTGCGTAAACTGACGAGGAGTATTTTCCGTTTCACGCAGAACAGTATATGGCATGCTTGGCATTTCTCAGCCACCTGAAGGGTATCTTAACTTCAAGCGAGAGGCATGCCTCTTTTGTGAAGAGCTACTACAAAGGGATTGCTCTATTAAAATTCCCAAGTCATTAACCTTAAAAACTAGAATGAAGCATTTCTGTTCAGTATTTTCTTAGTTTAAAAAAAAAAAAAATAAAAAAAAATCAGAGCACCTAAAAACACGGGGCCTGCAATAAAGGACCTGCTTAGCTGTAGCTTTACCACTTTTATCAAATGAGAAAGTATGAACTTTGTGTATTAAATAAGGAGTAGTATTTCAACATTTATCATAATTAACAAAGTCTAACCCAGTTTGGGCCAGAAGAGAGGCTGACAAACTGAAGACAAAACAACAGAGGACCATAAAGATAAATGGGGGACTGGAACACATAAGCAGATGGTAAAGGAAATGGGTTTGTACCAATTGATGAGAAGGTCAACAGCAGATTCAATTGCAGTCTTTCACTACTTAAAACAGACATTATAAAGAAGACTAAGTCAGACTCCTCGTGGCTGTGCACAGTAAAAGAACAAGAGGCCACAGTCAATTTGCAGCAAGATAAATTCCAATTGGAAATAAGGAAAAAAACGTTTTCACAGTGGAGTGGCTAAGCACTGGAATTGCTGAGAAAGTTTGTAGAATCTCCATCCTTGGAGATATTCAAAACTTGTTTAGAGAAGGCCCAAGAAACCTGATCTGACTTTGAAGTGGGATTTGCTTTGAACAGAGGGCTGACTGACCTTCAGAGGTTCTTTCCAGCCTATATTACTCTATTGATTCTATGAACTCTGATAGAGAAAAAGAGGAATCAGTTCAATCTCTTACAAATAGAATCACAGAATCATAGAATCATTTAGGTTGGAAAAGACCTTTCAGATCAAGTCCAACTGTTAACCTAGCACTGCCAAGTCCACCACTACTAAACCATGTCCCTAAGTGCCACATCTACACGGCTTTTAAATACCGCCAGGGCTGGGGACTCAACCACTTCCCTGGGCAGCCTGTTCCAATGCTTGAAAACCCTTTCGGTGAAGAAATAAAAAGTTAAAATCTTTCTACTTAGCTTCACAGAGGAGCTACATGAATAGGGAATTAATGGTTTCCATTCTCCTGTTCAGAGCAGAATGGCTGCTCAGCTATCTTTACTGGTAAGTATAGCTGCCCGTTGAGGCAAGTAAAAAAAAAAAAAACTAGAGAATTTAAGAAAGCATGGCTGCAGCGATCCTCATTAATTGAAGAGTAACTAACTATTCATTTAACATTCTTTATAGTCAACTATCCCTCCGAGTAATTTAAAGAGACCAGCTACATTCAGCTTAATTGGCTTAATATTAATGCCAGTAGGATTCAGTGGTGAAACAGGCAACTATTGCCATGGAAGTGATTAATGTTGTATCGAAAAATATCATTCCCTCTTGCCATCCCACTCTTTTTAGCACTACACAGTGTAGCTATGAGAACAAGGTGGCCTTTATCTTGCAGATCATCGCAATGGTAAGGTAACTTCTACTTGCAGCATCTGTCTAACCGACATACAGGGAGGAAGCAGAAAATCACAATGACTGATTTTTAAATGCCAGGCTCAAACTGCAACAGGAAAAAATACTACTGAAATGCAAACTAAGCACTCTTTGGCTGCACTGACATTTTTTATAAATCAACTTAGATGTATTGCAAAACCAAGTAATTAACAACATACTTTTCAAGCTGTCGTAGTCTTTGCCGTAGCTCCTGCGTGGCAATAGGCAGAGATATATCTGAGGCTATACTAGGAGTGGGTTCTTTGACTGAGAGGTGGCTGGGAGAATAAGAGAAGTTAGAGGCATGAAGACTGGAGGAACTTCGGCTGAGATCTGTTGGCCACTGAGGACTGGCATTGGGAGGCTGACTTTTTTCAGCTGTATCAGTCTTTTTATCACTATCAGTCACTGGGGAAGCTGGAACAGGTTTATTTGAATCAGGTGGTGGTGAGACAGGAACCTGAGGCTTAAAAGATGTTTTTCTTGCATCTTTGGAAACCGATGGCCTTTTTACTTGGGCTGAGTGTTGATGATCTGGAGACCTTGCTTGCTTTTCAAGAGAAAGGACCTAGAAACAGTAAAAATACATGTAATACCACTATTTTCCAGTATAAAAAACAGGAAGAAATTTGTTTCTACAAGCATACTGGTTGGTGACAAGTTGTTAAGTTCAGACACTAATGCAGGACCAAAAATATTCACACTTACACTCACTCACTCTACAATAGGAAACCTTTTGCACAGCAAAACACAGCTCCATCTTCTTTGTGCCAACTGCAGTAACTATAGAACAACGTGAACTTCTCCATTCATTTAGAATTTTTCTCCTCATTATCCCTGTCCCATAATCTACATACTTCTGGTGCAAGTGCTATTTACTTTGCAGCTCTAGCCACCTGGAAAGCTGTTCAAGAATTTTTTTCTTCTCATCTTTTGAAATTTAATCCTACATCACAAGTTCTTCTCACTCATTGTCCTTACTTTCTCTTTTATAGGTTTTTTCATTTCATTATTTTCATTTATTAATGACAAGTAAGCAAGAAAGTGCTTTAGAAAAGAACAAATAACAGAAGTTAACAAAAGTTTGACAGTGTTTGCAAAGAGATACATTACCTTATTAAACCAAATAATTTAGCTGAGGAAAAAAGCAAACCAACTTTCAGGTATGCAAGTTTCATCTTCAAAACTCCAATGTGCTTGAAAGTTGGTCTGAATTTTTCTAGTATTATGAAGGTACTTCCTTTCCCTATAAACTTTATTCTTTTTAAACCATCATGACCTCAGTTCCATTTCTATAAGATAAAGGTGATTTCACTGATCTGTAGCCTACTGAGTCATAACAGACTTGAAGGAATTCAGATTCCAAACATGATCTCCGAACCTAAAACCACAGGGAACCTCAGTCTTAATTAATGCAGCTGATTACTGTTTTGTTCAGAGAATTTTCTGATTTTGAAATAGAATGTATTTAAATTAGAGGTTATCTTTGTGTACTCGATAGTGCTGCCACAACTAAGGACACCTGGCATTGTGACACCCAAGGAAATGTACTATCTTCTTCATAAAGCTAGAAGACCAGAATTCACAATACTCTTAAATATGCTTTCAGATATTTACAATGGGAAAAGTTTTAGAGTACCCTGAGTGCAATCTTCATGTTTATAGTGCTGTTTGGACCAGAGTTGCTCAGGTGGAACCGCTGATGCATAGTTAAATCTTCACTCTCCAGCAATTGGCTTAGAGGCAGTTTGAAGTTCCCCAAAGAACACTGGTGCTGTTCATCCCTCACCTGAAGGAACACAGTGTTATTTTGTGTAAGTTATTTTGTATCACCTGCTTTGTTAGAATTCAGAGAAAGAAAATTAAATGACAGTTTTATTTAAAAACAAAAAATCCAAACAATATTGAATGTAGTTTGTTCTTAAACCAAATTTCCCTGATCATAAGAATACTTTACACTGAAGAAGGAAATAGCAAATACACTCAATGCCTAGTTTCTTTATCCCTATCTTCTACAGCAAAAGCAAGACTAACTAAGAAAACTAACCATCACGTCTACATCTACCTGACCCTTGATCAAAATAACTACATGGTTTCCAAATGGTCTGTGTGAAAATGAATTTCCACAACTGTTAGAGGAATAGTAACTAGGACAGTACTCATTTACACTTTAGTCTCTCTGAACTATGTAAATGATATGTCAACAGTGTAAGGGGATACCGTATTTAGATAAAGCAAAGACTTCCTTGGGATGAGAGAGGAAACAAATCAGCCATACAAAACAGCAATTTCTGCTAGGTTAAGACTGCTAAGGTTCAAAACAGGTATCAACATTTTTTTTTTCTTTTCGTAAGTAAAACAACCACCAACTGTGTTCTTCTGGTGAGAGATTGGTTATAGTCTTTCTTCCTTTTAGTAGTAAATGCAGATAAACATTTCATAGCCTGGTCTTAAAAAACACTTTAAGTATAATTTTAATGGTGTTCACAATATATTCGGTCTCATTTCATAAGAGCCTGTAATCTCTGAATGTTACTACTGAAATGCCTTAGGAAAGAAAGTTATGTAAAGAGAGTGACACAACATACCTCAACTTCAAGATCTTGTCTTTTGGGATTGTGTACAAAGAAAGTGAAGTTTTCCTCCCATACTGGTTCATTGGTCTTGTATCGAATCTAAAGTTAGGTAACAGGAAGCATACAAGTTATAAAACATTTTTGTCTAACAAAGCCAGTGTCAGGAGTTGAGCACATTTTTCATTTTGGCTTTGCAAAATTAGTGTCTGAAACCTGACATATTTAAACAAAGGCCATATTTAAACAAGGCATATGTAATATCACATATAAAATTATACACAGGATATGTAATAGAATGTTTTGCATTAAAGTTGCTGCACATAAAGTAAAATTTCTGCTAAAGAACCTTTACTTCACACCAGTATATGAACAAAAGCAAGGTCTTCAGACCAGCACATTCTCTCTCCTCTCATACGTCTCTAGAAGGGCTGAGCTAACTCAATGAAATTCGTAGAAACTAATATTTTTCCTTCTAACCGCCAAGTAGCCCTGCAGAAGATTTCACTGCCAAATCTCACTACTTTCAGCATGCCATTAATGGGGGATGGGGAGAGAGAGAAAAAGTGCTTATAAAAAAAAGCTCTCTCCAGGAACAAAGGACTTGAATTTCTATCTCTGTTCTCTAATAGGTATCAAAATTAAGATTGTATATAAGAACTGGTTTAGGCTTTGTGACAATGTTTGACAGGATATGAAGAAGCCAAATTAGACGTCCTCTCCTTTTGGCTCACTGACACTTTTACTTGAAAACAAACAAACAAGCCAACCAACCAAAACACAACCATATTGCATATATCTACCTATCTAGGTATCACTTCACTGTTGCTATTTTATTTTAAAGAGCTGTTTGAATGCACAGAGGTTAGTTATGGACAAGACAACAGGTATGTTGAATGCCTTGGGTCAAAATCAGAGGGATCACCATCAAGATCGACCTCATGACAGGCATCTGTTACAGACCACCCAATTAAGAGAAAGAGATGGATGACACTTTCTTCAGATGACTCAAAGCTGTCTCAGGTCTGCAGAATCAGGTTCTCACCGAGAGCTTCAACTACTGTAATGTTTTCTAGGAAATCAGCACAGTGGTGCACAAGCAGCTTAAGAGTTTGCGCTAGGAAAACACACGCTGTTGTGTTACAGTTGTTCTCAATCATTGGATGTGTTGACTAGGAGTGGTATTCTTCTGAATCTACTACTTACAAACGAGGAATATTGGTTTGCAGATGTGACTATCAACAGCAGCCTTGGCTACAGTGACTGTAAGATCACAGAACTTAAGATCCTAAGAGGCACGAGGAACACAAATAGCAGAATAAAAGCCTTGGACTTCAGAAAAGCAGATTTCAACTTGCTCTAGGAACTGTTAGAGTGGATTCCATGAGTGGCTACCTTAGAGGGCAAAGGAACTCAGGAGTGCTAGAGGACAGCCTTCTCAAAGCACAGAAGTAGTCCATACCTCAAAGCAGAAAAAGCAGCAGACATAACAACAAAGTAGCCTGGCTAAACTATGAGCTCCTGAGAACTACACAGCACTTTGGCTAATCTAAGGCCCTACTTTAAACAGAAGGTTCAAGCAGATGATCTTCAGTAGTCCCTTTCGACCTGGGCATTTCTGTAACTCTGTGATTCTGTAAATTTTCAAATCTTGATCAGTATTCTGAAGCCTGCTGTTTGCCCACAGAGTTATTTATATAATCACTGCTGTAGGAATGCCAGTTGCAGAACAGAACCTACTGTGGAAGGACATCTACAAATAGTTAAAAATCCACTCTCTACTCACAGACAGTTTAAATTGAGTAAGCACCCATTCAATCCTTGGCTTCTTGTTGGCAATTTTAGTTCTGGTGGTAACTTTTAGTGCAGTGGATATGCTGAATGGCTTGATAGCCAATGCCAAGCACACAGAGCCACCAAATGTTTGTAGATAGAGCCAAGTATAAAGGGTAGGAACTTACCTTACTTTCCTGTGCCTTGTGTCCAACTGACAGCAAAACAAGTGGGTTGGGATTGCTGTTTATTTTCTTTCCTGACTGGTAAAGAAAAAGCAAAAACTTTGCCTTCAGAATAAAGCAACACCTCTCTCTTCTGAAACTTAAATGTTTGCATCATAAAAATACAAATCATATGCATTCTACTATATGCTTATCTATTATTTTCAGTATTTTATTCAACAGGCTTGAATGGCAGACTGGCTAGTAACTCATGAACACGTTAGCATGAAGGCATCCAACTACCCTAAATACACTGAAGCAAAATGCTACAAATAAGCAGGAGTTTTAGACTCCTTTCCGTTCTCTTTGAATGAAACTGGTAAGGTGCAAATTTTTATCCTTTAATGAGTATTATGACCCCCAAAGCTAATGAAGCATAGTTAAAACTGCAAAATGAATATTGCATGCAGATGGGAGATGTGGAGAAAGCACAAACTCAGGAAGCTTACTTTATTTACATTGCAGTAGTATTATTAAACTGAACATTTATATTCCTCTCTTTTCAGTTTGGGGAGAAAGAGGATGCACTATAATGTACCTGATGTGTATTTCTACAGTTTACCAAATACTTTTTATTAGAGAATCAACCATCTGCCATATCTGAGCCTTGCTTACCAGGTGTATAGCATTACATCAAACTGTGGAAATAAATACTGGTTTAGAAACAAATTATATACACAAAGGAACATTCCCAACTACATGTTTCTTTCACAGATTTTAAATTAACCTAACAAAGATTTAAGTCAGAAAGTTAGACATGAAAGTTAATCATCTCAAGCAGGTGTTAATGCAGTTTAAAATGCCTAGAAAATATAGTATATATGGTTAATAATATACTTTGAATTCGACCATGTAGGAGATTGCACAGATTGGGTATGTAAACAGAAAGTCAGTTAAAATCTACTTAATGCATGTAAGGTCACAACTGCAACCAACTGATTAAAATATTTTTTATTTTTAAATTAAGAATGTGCATATTTTAGGTATTTTGGGATCTGAACTTACATTTTGGACATCATACTTCCACAAATATCACTTGACTTTAATGTGACACACTGCTTATAACCATACTTTCCTTTAGAAAAAAAGCTGTTAAGAAAGCACTCCTTTCTTGGACGAATGCCGCATTTCTTTTTTTCATGATTTCTAATCGAAAATATTCAGCTCTCATCAAAGGCAACAGAATACAAAGGTTTAAGGAACAGAGAGAAAGTCAGGTTACACTCCAACTGATGGTGTTTAAAAATGGTAGGTGGAATTTGTTTCATTTTTTCTTTGTCCATTAAAAGGTGCCTGAAACTCCCTTTTCTTCATAAAATGATGAAACTACAGAAGCTGACAAAAAGACCCTGCTGCTTATGCTGATATGTAAACATGAATAATCTTAATTCATGCTAAATAGGCAGCAATATGTACACACACATATAACGCACCTCTAACACCTGCCACTGCCAGATTTGCTGTTGGCAGTCTATGAGAAACTGCCTCTTGTCCAAGTTCCTCCAGCTGAGAACTTGGGTTATGCCTTCTAAGTTTGCCTCTCAACTCCATGTCTTCCATATCAAAAAGCTGGGCTAAGTTTATATAGCATTTATATAAAAGATGTAAAGCCATCTAAAAATGGCTAGCAGAAACAAGATTATTTCAAAACATGTCAGAGGTTGATTTTGTTGGTTAGTCATTCAAGAGTTGACCAATAAAGTATCACTCAATGTAAAAGATGGTTTAGCTTTCATGTCAGCCTTGTTCTTTGGTTACTACTTCAAATTAGTTCTCAAGACTATTTTTTCCCCAGTCTTCTAAAGCAGTCTATACTCCACTCAACTAATCTAAAACTTAAATTACCACAGACCACAGTATTTTACCAATGTCTTGACCACTTCTTGAAACCACATTTCAGTAAAAAGGGATGGCACTAAACATATCTGGCAACAGAAATTCCATCCGCTGTTGGGAGAGAAGCGTTGCAGGCATTTGTGCATTTCCAATTACTTTTGTGACCTTAAATGGACAACTATATTAGTTTTACCTTTAGGGCTTTCTGAACAGCAGCCTTCTTCAAGCCATCAGGGTTAAATTCTAATGGATTATGCTTTTAAGTTAGGAGAGAATGAACATAGGAAGGGTTAATAAGTCATGCAATGAAGCAATTTCACTAGGTTAATTAATTATGGCATGACAACATAGGACAAAGGGGGGGGGGATCAATGTAAAAGAAACACCAAAAATTCTTCAAACAAAACAATGAAGGAACCACAACAACAACAAAAAGAGCCTGACAAAACTTTTTTTTTGTCTTGTCCTCTCTGAATGTTTATATTCTGCTTGAAAACTAATATACTCAGTTTCAGTCCACTTATATTTCCCTTACCATTTTTTTTTTTACCATAATAAAGAAAGTTCACAAAATAGGTTTTATTGAATGCCTGATGTCCTATGGACTTCCTTCTGAATTAACCTTTTTTAAATTTGGTTAAGTATATTTTCACAACATAGAAGCTTCTCTGATAAGTCAAGTAATTATGTGAAGTTCTTTTATGGGAGAAATTACTATGCTAAAAGTATTGATAGATTTTTATAATGACCTAAGTCCTAAGTCATCTGAGCTTCTTCAACAGATGAATGATACAAACACCGCATGCGAACTAGAATGAAGGTCTACTACTTTACTCAGTTGAATGAAGACATGCAAATACACTAACAATGGGAATTTGAACTGATTTAGCAGGACAAAACCTCTGACTACTTTCCATTAATTAAGCAAATTCTTAAATTTTATTTTAAGAACAATATGTTGTTCTTGAAGTGACACATGTAAAGTACAAAAATGTTACAGAAAATTTGCATTCTTCTCATAAGAAATTATTTCAGAAAATATAGTTTTGAAATAAACCAGACTTCAAGTTAGTATACTTATGGCTGGCTTTTTCTTTAAGCACAAATTTTTCTTTCAAGGGAGAATTCTGCTTTAAAAGCTGTAGTGTGTGACAACAAAAAAAATTGCATAATGGCCTTCTTAAACATGCTGGTTTATGAACAGGAACCAATATTTTTAATGCTCTGCCAGAAGAAATGCCTTCCTGAAATTAAAATCCAAAAGTGACTAAAATTTGAAGAGAGATTTAACCTTTGTGCAGAAATACTTTTTTACATTTTCTTTTGGAATGTCATATCCTGAAGTTGGCCAATATATATGACAAGATTCCTGGCATTCAGCTTTAAAATTTCTATTTCAGAATGAATATGCAGTATGATGAAACTGGAGAAAACCAGAAATAAGGCTGGCCTGCTTTTGTGGCATTTTTTTAATCACTGTTTTTCTTAAAATAAAATTCAGGAATCTTCCACAGCTATTTATCTGATATGTTAGGGACTTACTATTGTACTTAAAGACCTTCAGAGATGGAGACTACACGATATCCCTAGACATATCAATCCTAATGCTTACCTATCATTTTAATGAGAAAAATTTTTAATGCCCAACAGGTATGTTCCTTGCTGGAGTTTAAGCAGTGTTTCTTGCTTTCTGACAAAGATGAAAAAGTCACTTTGTTTGCAGCAGCCTTGTATAATTTCCAACCCCATCTTTAGTTCCTAAGGCTAAACTCATCCTAGTTACTCTTCCTCTGCTAGTCACGTTTACTAGATTTCTCACTGTCATCACTGGTGTCCTCCAGATCTTAAATTGCTACGGCCAAAATCAGGGCCTTAGTAATAGCTAAGTAGAACAGAAGGATTCGTCCATACATCTTACAGGCCACACTCCTCCTTCTATATAAAGTATGGCGTTTGTCTTTCATAACAGCATGATACAGCATGACTACAGATTTGTTGCTGTAGAGCTATCCATCAGACAACTATTTCCAACCCATATTTATATGGGTGCAGTGACCATCCTCTATGGAAAAGTACCTTATTTTATGCAGATCATACCTCCAATTCATCAAGATCATTTTGAATCCTAAACTGCCCCTCAACTTACTGGCCATCTTTCCTTCACATGTGCACCTGCATATCCAGTACACAACTTTTTTCCCCCTATGCTACTATTTCAAAGACTTTTAAAAGTCAAAACTAAACCTATGTGATCAATTGTAAAGGCAGGAAACTAAAGATTCCTGGATATTGAACATGTCTCAATTCCTCTGGAATCATAGCAAGAACAGGCCAAGAGGGACATCAGCTGGGACAAATATGTTTAAGCCAGACTTCAGGTTTCAAGGCAAGGAGCTACAGGTCCACAAGGATGGTGGCTGAAAAGCTGGGCAGGAGGAGACTAGGAGAAGAAAAGGGAGTATTCAATATAAAAAATACAATAAAAGGTCTTGCCTTGGCTAACAAAATTGTCTTGCTATGCTTCTGGAGTTATAAGAAAAGAGGACAGGTATCCAAGAACTATATTGATAACAGACACAATGGAATAAATCAGATTTCAGGCTAGCATTCTGCAACAGCCAGTGACATTTGCAGCAAATCCTAATAACAAGCCCATAAATTACACCACAACTAACAACTGTTTTGTTTTTAAACCAGGTCCTAATTCAGTATGCTTTGGAGTACAACTCATTACTTCTGTTGACTCACTAAGTCTTGCTTGGGGTTAAAATGGGGCTTTAGAAGTGTCTAAAACTGTGAGTGTGTCCTCAACTGATAACCAGAAGACAGTCACTGATCTGTAAGAGCTGATTTAAAATATGGATCATTTATAAGTGATATAGACACCAAATTAAAAGAAAAATTGTTATGAACTAATGACAACGTATCATAAAACTAGTGTTACTCACTTTCAGAAATTATACTAAGAACACTATTCATACTCCTTAACTTCAGATAAATCAGATTTAGATAGGTATATGTCCAAATTAGGTGTCATGAATCTAGGTTCCCAGCAGTCAATAATTAACTGTCTAGAAAGGAACAGAGAGCACTCAAGGCATTGGATTTTCCTCTCCCTATACGAAGTGAGCCCCCTTTTTAACATTCCCTTCCCCTCAAGTAACTCCTGTTACATGTCAGTTAGATATCTGAACTTGCACATATGAACATTTGCATAATAGGCCATGATTACAGATGCCTTGAAAACAAGATGCAGTTTTATGACTGCTAAAGCTGTTACTATCTCTGGACTACTGCAGTCCTCTCCCCTCTCCTGGCCTCCAGCCATAAATCTTGTCCTCTTGCTTGCTGCAAGACTAGCACCCACGCAACTGCAGAACAAGGCAGTTAACGCTGCTGTTGAAGGAAATCCAGACCTGGCTATCTTAAAATGGTTGCTGTTCCACTCTGACTCACAAATTGCTTTGGGGATTTGGAAAGTTTTGTCCAATGTCTAAATAGATGCTGTTATATGTAGACAACCTGTCCTAAAGCAAAGACCTTAAGATCAACAAAAATATCAGGGCTACACTGTTTATCAAGCATTTTGATTTTTAAAAATTATTATTATTTTTAGGATGTATCTAGTATTTTTATAACTAAAAGAAACAGCAACTACTTAGCAGTTTTTAATACCAACATAACTGAACCATAGCTTATGAACTGCATTTCTTATTCACTAAATTTTAACAAGATTTGGTAATGGATGTAACTTTTTTTGATAATTTAAAATTAACTTCTACACAGAAACTAACTGAAAGGACCACAGAAAAGGGTTTTGTTGGGATTGGGGAGGGGGGTGGGGCAGCGGGAAGGGTGTTTTTAAATCAAGGTTTATAATATGAGCCACAAGTAGCCAGCCAGCAACAAATTTATCTCCACAGTCTACAATGGCATACCCACCTCTCTCTGGCAAAAGAGTTCTTGTTCTGAACAGATTCGCATTCTATTTTAAGATACCAAGGTTGTGTTTACAGATTTAAGTGTAAGATATTCAGAGGTTCGTTCATTTGTAATAATCTTGTAACATTAAATTCAAGAAAAAAAAATATTAACTGGTGGTTCTTCCTAGCCTGGATTTTCCTGACTACAGACTAATTTGAAAAAAAGAAAAGGAGCTTGGAAATTTGCAAAACAAGGAGCATCATGGAGTGAAATAGAATTTACAAGGGAATTTATAGTTTGGGGAGCACAAAGAACCACACCCATTTTTAAAGCAATACTTGAACCAGTGTGGAGAGGTTGCAAGTTCTTACAAATATTCAGTGCATCACCTTTTAAAGAAACTACAGGGATGTTGGTTGTAATACTTATTAGTTTCTTTGCAATAAAAGCCAACAATTCACCAGCACACAGTGTGCTAGTATAGTATGCATTTTATTTCTCAATGAATCAGCAATTTAAGTTAAATGTAAGAGCTTTTACAACAAACTTATCTTGGGTTTTTATCATAAAAAGTTAATTACTTACCCAACGATATGCTGATCACTGAAATTTAAGTACCCTTTAAAATGCAATAAAAATAGCACAAAAACAATGCACACTTGTTGAAACCATGCAGCAAAACAAATTGCATGCTCTCATTCCACTAGAGTGAGTGGCTTTAGTAGCACTAATCCACACTCTGGCAGATAAAAGGTACAATACAAATAATACCAGAGAACTCACAAATAGTGCTCTATAGAGTGAGGTAGTGTTTTCACAAAAGACTAGTCCCGATGCTCTCCTCTCTTTTAAGTATCCACACCCAAAGTTTCCCTCGTAGATACTCTTAGGAAGATGGAAATGGAAGGAGAAAGCAGAGTGATGGGATTGTGGCAGAATGAATGCATAAGCAGCTTTACTACACAAAAAAGTTAAGGAAAACAGTCAAAGGATTCCAGAGAAAACAGCAGATAACAAGAAGTAAATATTTGTCATTACAAATAGTTTCATCTGTTAAATTACTTTCTGTAGCGCAGCTAGGTGAAAAGTTTTTTGATTTTTTTTTTAATTAATTCTTCAAATATATTAACCGACTTTCCAAGTTTACTTTTGGTAGTTCAGATTTATATGGCAGATCTGACTAAGTAAATTTAGAGACCAGCCTTCTACAGTTTCTATTTCACTTTAAACATATTTCAGATAAATCATCCCAGTGTCTCAGAAACCCGTGCAACTATGATGCATCTGTGCAAAAGAAATACCTGTGCTGGGAATTATCCACTCTAACTCAAAACAAGGCTGATGACTAGATCTAAAATGTACCAGTGATAAGCATTAACTTAAGAAATCCATTTGAACGTAATAAAAAGTACTTACTCATCTAGAAAATATTTCAGCTGTAACATTAAAGTTGTGGACTAAATTTTCAAAACTATTAATAAGGGCCAGTGTAATTTTAACACTTCATTCTCTTTGAACTTTCTGTTCCCCATAAATACAAGCAATCCAAAAGAGCGATTAATTTTGCTATTACACTACACAACCTCTATCAGTGAATATGAACACAACATGAGAAGCCAGCAGACTTTCATTTTTAGTCCTGGAAATGTTATTCCATATTAGAATCAAATGGACATAACACAGCTGTATTCGTTATAATTCACTGCAGTTTGTCTAGCATCTTCATGACATTATCTAAGCATTGTCTTTATAGAATCTATAGGAATCTTTCTCGTTCTCCTGCATGAAGAAGTCTTCCCATGATATTTTCCCCCCACATAACTGTGAAGCCTTTTTGTATCTGGTTTTGGACAACTTGAATTTAACAAAGTATTGTATTATTTTATTGTTGTAAACTTGTACATGGAATTTTCAAGTATTCAATATTACTTTCTATTATATTCTTTGTAACGCATTTCTGGAAAGAAAATGAGTTGAAGTTAACTGAGTCATTGGTATTAAGTGTTTTTCTGGGCTGGTAGAGCAAGGGGGGGGGCGGGGGAAAAGAGGGTTAAACAGGTCCCACACTATGACCATCCTTATTCTCAACCCACCCAGGCAATCTTGTACTGTAGACAGAACATCAGACACAGCAATAAGAAATTTGGGATCCTGTTCCCAAATTTCCTAACTCATCAGCTTTGTGCAAGGAACTTCCCCTTTCTGTGCCCTACAGTTTAGAGATCTACTGATTGGAAGTACTGATTAAGATACTGAAATTAAAATACTGTCCCCAAAAGTAGGTAGAACTCAAGACTTGCATCCTAACCTTTCTGAAGGAGACAATGTTACAAAATGTTTGTTTAAAACAGGAAGGAAAAAAACTAAGCTTAGACAAAGCCCTTGAGTATCTGCTGGAGAAGCTAATCTAATATAGAGAAGCAGAGCTGTATAGGGAAAAAAAATGGAAATTGTAGATGAGAGAACTTTAAACTATACATTTTAATTAAGAGGCTTTAGTGTATTTTAACAAATATTATTAACTTGTAACAGTTTGAGTAAAATCCAGTAGTCAAACAAGAAAATACAGAAATGGGTTCAATTTAATCTAGTGCACAAACCGTAAGGCAGATGGAATTTTTCTGTGTGTTGCAGTATTCTGAAATTGATGTTAAGCACACCATAATTCTACTCTGCTTCTGCTTACTCTGTACTAGAGTAATTATACTCTTCTTCTGCAGTAATTCCACTCTTTCTGCTAATTTACAGAGTTCCCCTGAATTCAATACAGTGAGGTTAAAAATATAATGCAGGGCTCTATTCCAAATGAGCTACATCTTTTTAGTTTTTAAAATAACCTATAAATACTACTTCCAAACACTGCTCTATACATCCTGGAACAGACATGAAATCACTAGTCAGTGATGTAAACTGTTTAGGCTACTAAGCTTTCATTTGTTACCACTCTGTTTGATGCAGCATTTTAACTTAAATTTAAGATGAGTGGACAAATTTGCATAATGCATGCAAAAAAACCCTGAGGCTCGAAAACTTTATTCTCTGATTAGTATTTTAGCCATCACTTCCAGAATTCCTCATCTAATAGCAATCCTGAAAAACAGTAAAACTCAGTGTTATGCTTCACATACCTATTTATGGTAGGGTTTGCTTTATTACTGCTATCATTTACAACCAGAAACAGTACTTTATGAACCTGAAATAAACTACAAAACGGTCCATGCTTGTCATAAACAGGCTATTTCACAGTCCCATAGTATAATCCATATAATGGCAGAACTGTTAATTTTTTTGTTTTGCACAAGCAAATAAACAATACTGCAAATGACAACCTGACAGAAATCTCATACAAGTATTCTGCCACTGTAACATCAACTGCACGGTATTAATTTCATGATGAAGACTTCAGTACCTTGAAATCTACCACAGATACCCTAAACCAAAGCAAGCAAGTTTACCTGAACTCAAGGAGGTGGGTCTTTTCCCAGTTAGTTCCTTAAAATTCCTCATGCTAATCCCATACTATTTATGGATAATGTTGTGTAATAAAAACATGCAGCCTTTCAAGTCCAGGAAAGGAGCATTCTTTAAAGAAAAATCACACTGATTAGAGAGTAATGTTTTATTAAATATATATCTATAATACTATACTGCTAGAAACGTGGACCTTACATTACACGTTTTGAAACAAGAGAAAGTATAGAAAACATGGTATAATGTGTGTTAGTAAAGCAGTGTGCCATACTACCAAGCAAGCCATGCTGGAAGTACGCAAGAGATACCCATGACAAAAGGGTATCCATCAGAATGTAACTTACGGGCAGGTTTCTTGCTGAGTCCAGATAGAGAATAAGCAATGCAGAAGAAAGCCCATCATTGGCTTGGTCTTTATCAGCTCTAATGCTTGTGAGCACCTAAACCAAAAACATACTGTAAGCCTTTCTGAAAATCAAATATTATTATTATTTCTGTCCCATTCCTGAAAAATATTTTAAGAACATCTCCCAAAACACAAACATTCACAAATGCAAAGCATGAAGCATAAGAAGAAAGTTTTCAAGACTCACATAGATATTTCAAACCCATTTTTATGGAAATTTCCACCCCATTTCCTAATCATATTTTTTTTAGGACAGATTATAGTATCATAACCAGCTTTATCTCCCAGGCTAATGAAATATTAGCTGATATTCTCAAACCGTAACATTAAAAGAAAAGAAGAGGATGACAAAAGCATTTTAAAATCCCGTGCGACAAGAGTACATTGACAGTTATGACTGGTTTGAGATTTCTAAAGCCAGAGAGCTTGGAATAAAGTTACAGGTTTATCCAAATTCACAACAACTAGAGAATTAAATTACTTACATAATTAACAAAAAAAAAAAAAACCTAACCCAAAACCCACAACAAAACACACCCCACAACAATTAAGATAAGGAAAAAAGTAATGTGTTCCTTTAATACCTTGTCTAGATTTTCAGCAGTTGGCATCAATGTGAGCCATTCCAGTTTTAAATGCAATTTTCCCTTGGACACTTCATCCAAAGTAAACCACTAAAAGTTAAGCAAAGTAATGTGAAATAATCTGACACCAAACAAATACATGATTGCAATTGGCTCTTCCGGACATTTAGGAAATTTCTGTACTAGAAATCTCACAGAGCTGAAGTCTGCATAACCTGAAAAGATCCGAGTCATTGTTTAAAGTGTCCTATTTCACACTAAACATTACAACACAGAATAACCGAAACAGCCACGCAAACCTCTATGTTATGTAGTAAAAGCATTTTTAAAATATTAAGAGAATTCTTTAAGTTCTGTAAATATGTTCTAGAAATACAAACCCTGCATAACATTACTATAAAATCTCTCTTACATATAGGACAAAAATTAGTCTGCTAAGTCTAATAATAGTTAAACCAGGCAATTAACTATTCTCCTGCAAGAAAAAGCTCTCACCAAATATATATTACTGTTTTTTCCATTTACATACTAGTAATTTTAAAACCCTCAGACAGAAGAATGGCATTATTCTTTGGATTTCACTGATTCAGATATCCCTTAAATCACTTTACTGATCACGAGGGAACCTGTTCCTACAGCATTAAGATTATTCATGCACATACAGGAACTACCCCCAGGAAAAAAAATAATAATACAAGAACAACTATATATACAACAGATGGGGTTTTTTTTAAACTAAAACTTACTGAACACTTACCTCATCTAGAAGACGCTCCTTTTCAACTTCAATTAAATCTATCATCAAACTAGAAAAAAAGAAAAGAAAAAAAACCAATCGCTATTTTGGCCAAGAAGCAAAAAAATCTAATACAGAACTCAAACCCCACCCTGTGCTTGCTGAGTATCCAGGCTTCCACTGAGATCAAAAGAGCTGAATACTATTCTTTTAGCCGCTAAGAGAGGAAGAAGTAGGGAATGAAATGGCTGAACAAAGATGAATGCAGGGTAATAGAAAATATGCCTATACTAGAGCCCATTTTGTAGCTACAAGGGCAAATGGCAAAATATAGTTCACATACATATGACCAAACTCTCAAAACAATAACCACATCCAAACTACCCACTGGAAATAGCCCCTGGACATATGCTATAACCGAATTCATGCTTTGGCATCATCTGGGAGAGTGCTAGTTCACACAAGCTAAAAATGTACCAGGGAATCTGCTAAAAATTAAGCAGGGCACACAACTGCATGCCAGTGCATGAACATTTGCCCTGGCTTTATATTTTACTAGTACTAATGTACACATTATGCCACTTTCCCCCCCCACCACTTCAGTGTAAGATAAGGGAAGTGCAAAGAAAAGAAGCCTTTATACTACCTACTTCTTTATTTTAATGAGAAGAGAAGTAGGTACTGTTGCTCCTGTTAAGAGAGAAGGAGCTGGAAAGATAAGGGAGTTCTACTCTGTATGGAAAGCAACAATGGGAAGCTCCAAAACTCTGCAAGAAATAAAGGTGACAAATTACTGGAGAAAGAAGCTGACTGAAACCCTGAAATGTTTATGGGTAAACACTAAAGGTAGGCCTATGGAATCTAAGAGTGACTAATGTTTGCAAAAGCATTACAGCAAAATGTTTTCTTGAACCAAATAGTTAAGACCAGGTCTTAGAGAAAAATAAACTGAGCTAGCCATTTAGAAACTATGAAGATGAAGAAGATACACAGTTATAAAGCTATATTAACTTTGCCTGAAGAAATAATTAAGACTTAGCTTACGAACATTAAAGCAGGTAGGGTACAATTCCTAAAAAAACCAAACCCAACTCTTTTTTTTCTGGGTACCCACAATACTTACCTTATTTTTTTAAAAAATATACGAACATATCGATATCTATATACACACACAAGCACATTTTTATATACATATATGAAGTAATTAGGGAACTACTTATTACCACCATTTTGAAAAGATAATGAATTTATAAATATAGTAATATAGCAGAACTACAACTGCAATAAAATGAAAGTAAAAAAAAAAAAAAAAAGATTGCATCAAAATATTTCATCTCTTTCCAATACCTACTAGCATATTCTCCATAACATTTACCTTCCCAGGAAGTCATCTTTATCTGGATCTTCATCAAAGAGCTCAATCTCTAATTCCTGTCCTGGATGTTCATATACTAAGGCCTGGAAGTACAGTAAGATGGCACTGTCAATGGTAAAACTAACTAGCTTTGTTGAATGGCATAGTAACAGCAAAACATTGAACTGCAGTGCTTCTGTGTATTAAAACATCAATAAACGAATGGTTTAAAAAAGATGCAATTTAAAGAGTAGAGCAAGTATAAGGGCTTTGCAGATGTGATTTGCTAATGTTGGCTTTAAGAGACTAGGCTGCTTTTCAGAATTACTGATGCTTAGTCTAGACAAAAGGAGTATATATATATCAATGGAGAATTTCTGTTCTGTTACAGAACTCTGGGCTTTTAGAGCATCAAGATGCTCCCCGAGGAAGTCCCCGGAGCATCTTCTTTAACAAAAGAAACTTTAGAAGACAACTTTACAGAACGCACGAGGTATTTTTGTTGATTATACCTCATAAACTTCATTCCATCTTGGATTGAGATTTTCTTTGATGACCTTGCTTTGGAAAATCTGGTTGCCCACACGGATGATTCCATAAGGGTCTGACTTTCCTTTGACAATCCCTTTTAGGTAAGTATCTTTCCCCTCCAGGTCTTGAGCTTCAATAAAGTGTATCCTCAGAACACCCTGAAAAAGGAAAAGATGAGTTTATGTAGTAATCTGAAAGCTTCCATGTCATCACAATTTATACAATATATGGTTTATAATTTTTATTGCGGTTTCCTTAACATGAAATTTAGTTTGGACACACTGTAAATGGAGGGATATCAATGATGATCCACTTACACAGCAGACCTAGCACTCAAGAGATTCCTGAAAAGAAAAACTGTCATCAACAATCAGAAACATGCCAGTTATATCAAGTAATGCAATGCTACTAGAAGTGAGTCGCAATAAGTAGTCACAACTTTCAAGTGAAGAGCAGTAACAATAATTTGCAGTGATAATATAAAACATGTGCTACTTAATTTTTAGTCTATACAGTTGAACTATATTTGAACAAGTAATATGTTTAAGATTCTAGCAAAATGTAAAACTCCTTCTTGGTGTTATTATGAAACATTAACTCCACAGAAATTATTTAGCAATTAAATCAATTATTTTAAGTGACTGGACTCACTTGTACTACTGCAATAACTATATTTAGAAATTCACACAGATGTGCGTATCTAACAGTTACTACTACAGAAAAAAACTAAATGCCAGATCACTAGTATCAACAGAAACACGCTTACCTTTGGTATAGGAAACCGCAACTGAGCAATCTGCACTTCACTGACAAGGGGGACTGTAATTCTGTTTGGAAGGACCAGGTAGTTGGATATTATATCCAATATTATCGTATCTGATAAGCCACTGTTGGACAAAATAATCCTCAGTTACTTCATGAGAATTAAACACATGTTATGTCACACACTTCATGAGAATTAAACACGTTATGTCACACTAATACTCCTTTTGCTGCTTAACAACTTAAATGGAGAAAACATTTGCCATTTTAGGGAGAAAACATTTGCCTTTTTGGGGGGGTAGAAGACACATCTGTCTTTTAAACGCTTTTTTTTAAAATAAAGGATTCTTGCCAAAATAGCCACCAGGTGGAAGCAGCTGACACTGAATAGCAGAAACCACAGAGATGATTATAAAGTTTTCATTTCCCTGCCACCACCAAGTTCCCTCCTCACCCCCGCCTTTTAAAGCCACCCAGGGTAAAAGGCTGTTGCCTAAGTTTTCTTGCCTGCATTGCATATAACCAAGCAGTTGTTAACTGTTAATCTACTTCTGTATTTCAGCGATGATTTAACTGTCCCTGAAAGTTTGGCTAACCATTCCTGTATTGTTATGAAACAAGTTGTCCTCTTGAGCTGGGAGGACTGTCATTTAAAACAGAAACACGAAGAAAATATGCTCATGGCTGAGTGAAATACAGCCTAGGGAAGCAAAACAGATTTAGTTCTGGCAAAAAGGGAGTAGCACTACAGTCACATTGGTAAAGAATCATTTGAAAAAACCCAACCCCATACCCCCCACAAACACAGAAAAGAAATAGATTTCCTAAGCTCTGAGTTGGCCCAGTTTGGGTCTGAACTGACAACAAACCAGTACGTTGTCAGACCAACACCACTGCTTACACACATTGCCTACACTGGCAAAAAGGCAGAACGGGAGTGGTACTGTTCCCCACGGAAGGCAAGTATCTAGGAAGATTTTAGGGGTATGTACAAAGGTTCAGAGATAAAATTTTCAAAAATACTTGAGATATTTTGAACGTGCACTCTCGCTAAAGCTGGGGGAGCTGCTTCAGGGATGAATGATTTCTCCTCCTAAACACACTTTATTATTCTCCTTTTACAGTCTTCATGAAATTAAGATGCAGATACTGTTTGATTACTTAGAACATTTTTCAGACGAAGCACTTGTGTGTAATCACCTTGTGAAGTTTCTCTAAGACTGAATCTGCAGTTGAGAGTAGCTCAGACTCAGCAGCTAGCATATTTCTAAAAATATAAAAGCTGCAGTGAAATGTAATATATATTACATCTTCATTTGGGAAGAAATTTCTTGGTGAGCAACATATTATGGTAGAGATGGGTAACAGAATTAACGTATTAGATACAATCTGGCCCATTTCAAATTCACATTGATATTTCATGCCGGAGATTTGCAACCAGTATGGTCTGCATCCCCTTGGCTGCCCAGTTCCACTGTAAATTCAAATGAACTATGATACATGATAGAACATGGCTGACTTTTTTAATGGCATCCAGTACAATAGGAACAGAAGAAACTCAGGGCTGCATCAAGATCAATGGACAGATCTGTGCAGACCTCTGTTTACTCTCTGAAAGAAGCAACAGTGGACAATGTTAAGAGGAAATCCTCAGAGGAAAGGTTTCCTCTCAACTTCTGTGAGTTAATTCACATCTGTCCTAAAGAGGACTCTTCATTCCCCTTCCTTTCTTGCAATCCAATCATATTTACAAAGATTTTCATTCTACATGAACACTGAATCCTACAAATTTATAGTTTGAGTAACTACTACAAGAAGATAATTATGTTATTGGAAAATAAGTAGCTTCCTTTAGTCATCATTGTAACACACGTTACTTTTCAAACTCTTCCTGTTCCATTTTGCTAAACATCAAGTTTTCAACTTACGTATGCTAAACTTTCTCTAAAATGAGCCAAGAAAACAGAACCCATTATTTTGTTAGTTGACTTTAAAATTTGAGATAAACATCACAGTCTTAACCCTAAAAGGAAAAAAAAAAAAAAAAAGCTGAAGTGATGGTAACTACACAAGCAATCTTCACACTTTTCAAAATACAAGTCTGATGACAAATCTCCAGTAGAGAGACCAGATAAGTTTGTTTTATTCATGCTTTTGTTAGTGTCCCTGTCTGGCAAGAAGACAAAGCTCTGCCTTTATGCTCAGTAAAGTGCATGCCTTAAGAACAGATGATTGATGCAGAAAACTGACTGACCTAGGTCAGAGAAAGCAAACGAGCAGCGCAAGAGAGGCAATGGTACCAGAGCTGCCTTGAAAGGAAAGGTTATCATGCTCTTCTCCAGTATTTAGTTAAGATCACATACATTATGAAATAAGCTATAGGTGTAAATAAACCTATCCTAGACTAGCAAAAGGTTCAGAGATTGATTAATATTCCAATGGAGCTACAGGAGATCTCCTTAAATAAGAGAAAGAAACAGCCTGAAGCAGAACAGAGCCCAGTCACTTGGAGGATTCGCAATCCTTTATGCTAGGACCAAACCCCCACTGCGATTCCAAAGGTCAGTCTCACAATTTTATCCCAACATAAATGCTTGAATTTCACTAAAACATCTGAGAAATTAATATTAAAAATGAACCAGAATTAATGGAATTTCACAGAATTTTACACAGAGAAGACTCAGAGGAGGTAGCAGATACTCCGTCTTTAAAAACAGGGAGCTGAAAAAGAACACTGAAGATCACAATACTTTCAAGCTGTTTAAAACTTATTTAACCAAATATTAGCCGATTGGGATGCTCCCAGCTGGAAAGTATTCTTCATGAGTACAAGGTAAAAATGACAACCTTCTTTATTATTTTATTACTTAACCTAAGAGGTCTGATCTACGGAAAACAGAGACAAATCGCTGATCAAGCAACAGAGAAAGATATATCAATTTAAACCCTTATGTTGATGCATCACCAATAACCAGCTTCTCAAGATCGTAAAACTCTTAAGTTATTGATTCTAAGTACAATTATTTTTTCAGTTCACAAAAATGAGAGAAGTGTGAAATTCTTCAGATAGTTTATTATAGTAAATGTCTTTAAAAGCTCAATTTCATTGCAGAAAAAATAACTGGCAGTTACCTACTCTGTTGTATTGCTCTCTATTTAGCTCTACTTAATTTTTAGTGACAGAATAAGCAGCTGTGTATTTTTCCTGCATCATCTTTATTCATACTGCAGAGACAGCACATCTCTGACTGCACAGAGTATTTTTACTGTACCTCAAGCAACCATAACAGAACTCATCTTCCCATCATCCATATCCCCTCCTGACAGCACTTGAGCATTTTCACAGCCTGGCTCCTCCTCACATAGAGATTTTAATTCCACTCCTCTGTAAGCTGTACTAATGATGGAATATGAATTACTTTTGTGTCCTCCTCCTTCTGGAGTCATATACGAAGAGCAATGGAAGTTTTTAACAGCTGACAGGGAAGCTTCCAGAAGGAAATGCAGAAATTCATTTAGCAGAAGACACTTGCAAACAGAGTACAAATTAGTAGTTTAGTGTGCAGCCAACAGTCGTAGGATTGAAAAGGTACCTGCAGCAGCAGCAATCTCTTGTTCATCATTGTTCATAACAACTACAATATGTCAAGCTGTCCTACCAAAATATACAATCTATCTACACAGATAAGAAAAGCAAATACAGCACTGAAGAAATCTCTTGGCAAGGCAGAGCATGAGTCACCTCAGTTACAGTTACTATAGAAACTATACCACATCTAGATGGCACCATTATACGGGTATGTGGCCAAGCTTGGTTGCTCTGGAAACCATAAACTTCAGATACTTAGTGAGACTTTGTTTACATTTGAGGTTTTATGTTTGCAGTCAGGCAAATATGTAGCATGATATGAATCTCAGGAGCCTAGTAAGCTTAAGTACTAAATGTAAATTTATTAGTGTTATATGATCAAAATAGCAAATTATTACTCAGGAGCTGTACTTCGGAAGCCATTTTCTCACTCATCAAGAAAACCTCTTTCCTCAGAGGCAGTCTTAAGCAGGCTTGAAACATAAGCGATTCTTGCAGCCATTAACCTACTTAATGCAAGTTCTAATTTCAAACTGTTCAGCTGGGATTCCACACAATGGCTTCACATGTCTAAGTAAAGAAAAAACCGTTTCAGTCACGCAATTGAGCACTAAAGGATTAATTTAATACCTAAATTCAACTCTTGTTTTTAAACAATAAAAAATAATTCTGGAGCCAGCCAGCTCTTGAGAATATGGCATCCAACAAAAGGACTAGTCACAAAATCCAAGTGTGTATCAGATCTACCATTATCCCCTTAGCCATTGTCTCAATATTAAAAAGCCCCTGGGTAACTATTACAACTTGATAATTATGAATATATTCATGGATTTAACCTTATCAGGATTGCAATGACTCAAAACAGCTTGTTTTTTACCTCTGCTTCCACTTTTTTCTTTGGGGTTTTATCATGTACTATTTTGAAAAGCTCTGAATAAGCCAAGCATTTTTTCGAGCAATATCTGGTCAATATTTTTGCTACTCCATTTGATCTTCACAGCATAAACTGAAAGCTTTAAAACTAAGTACTTGAAGAGATTCGAAAGTTTATTTAATTTGATTACTGTCTTAAGGTATTTCTAACTACCTTTACACAAGCAACTAGAGATGTATCAGCATACAAAAATGTAAGCCAAGATGTTGTGAACCCACTGGCATGAAAAATAAGGCTCTTTGTCTTTCTGCTGTCCTAGGAGATGGCAGATAGGAAATTCACAAGATTCTGGAAATCTGGAAAGGCTGAGACACTAAAAAAAGCAGGTAAAAATTATCTTTTCAAAGTGTTTTTAACAAGGCCTACTAGATATACTTTTGATGTACTTTTATTTGTAGTGAAGTCACTACCTTCTGCATATTGAGCAATTTCATATAATTCTAAATTAAGAGATAACTGCTCAGAGTCATTTAACCTAAAATTATTTAGCTGAATATCTTCAGATTTTTCTGGGGTTTACTGGGGTGGAGGAATATCAAACACTGCTTTACATATACTCACTTCAGTCCTGGAACATCCAGAAGATTGGTCAGTCCAGTCCAGTTAATTTCCAAAAGCTGTGAATTACAAAGAAAAGAGACAGAAAAAAAAAAAAGAAAAGCAACTTAGAATTCACAACACTGAATAAATAAACCTGATCACTATAGCTTCTGATCAGCGGAGGGTTAATAACCAGTTTCCAGGATTTTCTTAAACAGAAAACCAAAACTTCTTCCATGCTCTGTAATGTTCAGCCACAGATTTTAAAACAGAGTTATAAAAACAACTCACCATCCTCTTCCACACATACATATAAATACACACATGCACACCCCAATATACACATGTATATAATATCTACTACATACAACTAACATCAAATAATGAAATGTTGTCCTATTTTCTGGAGAAATATTTTAATATTCACCATAGAACTATTATAGATGAACAGTCACTGACATGAATTTGCAAAGTCTAGTAAGCTGATGAAGAATCCCATTTGAGACCAGGAAAATAAGAGATCTAGAAGACATGACCAATGGAAAGAATGAAGGATTTGGATTAAGAAGGTGGAAGGAGGACGTGACAACAGCTTGCAAACACAGAGCGGGCTGTTTTCAATAACAAAGAGACAAATTCATTCTACCGCTGATGCAGTAAAGAAGAAAAGTATCAACAGGATTAGGTATCGAAGTGAGAAAAATCCTCAGAAATAATTGATGGGGATAACTTATTGCTAGATCGTATATACTTCCTTCACTGAAAATCTTTACAGAGTATTAGACATACAAATGCTATAAAGGTGCATTATTCTGTTTCAGGGCTGCTGGCATTAACAACTAATTTCTAATGTCCTTTTCAATCCTATAATCTTCTCATTCTAGATAACAAAACTAATAGAATGGAGTTTCCTTATCCCCTCCCTTTTCAGTGAAAACTTTCTATTAACTGCATAGAGTTAACTGAATATAAGCAACAAACAAATCCAAACCCACCCAACTACCACCGTGCCTCCAAATCCAACTAACCCAATCTAAGGGTAGCTGCATGAGAAAAGTTAAAAGGATTTTGAGATTCCTCAGTTCAGAATCTAACTGTGGTGGTTCAGTTAAATGCTGAAACAAAACAACAAATCTCTACAAGAACCTACGTTGCATCTTTCCACAAACAGGCAAGAAGAATCTCCCTACATTAATTTTCTATTAAAAAAACCAGCACATAACTTTCTTTATAAAGGATCTATTAATGATTTAATTAGCGATTTCCTTTGTGAATACTTCAACTAAAGATAACTAATAACACATTTACTTATATAAGGAGCACTGTTACTTAATATACTTTTGCAATGGTGGCCAAACATTTCAACAACGTTATCTATGAAGGACCTAGCCTACCTGTAACAAACAATTAAGCAGGAAAAAAATCATTATCCTTTCTGCAATGGAAAAGGTAGTAAGATTTAATAACTGAATATTCCAAAGCAAAAGGCAAGACGTATCAGGGGATGTTCTGCAAGAATCTACACAAGCCAGCAACATGCCCTTGCCACAAAGAAGGATAATGCTATCCTGGGCTGCATTAGGCAAAGCCTTGCCAGCAGGCTGAGGGAGGTGATCCTTCCCCTCTACTCAGCACTGGTGAGGCCACACCTGGAGTGCTGGGTCCAGCTCTGCGCTCCTCAGCACATGGACGTACTGGAGAGAGCCCAACAAAGGGCCATGAAAATGATTAAGGGACTGGAGCATCTCTCCTATGAGGAAAGGCTGAGAGAGCTGGGGTTGTTTAGCCTGGAGAAGAGAAGGCTCAGGGGGATCTTATTAATGTCTGTAAATACCTGCAGGGAGGGTGCAAAGAAGAGAGCGCCAGGCTCTTCTTAGTGGTGCCCAGTGACAGGACTAGAGGCAATGGGCACAAACTGAAACAAAGGAGGTTCTCTCTGAACATCAGGAAACACTTTTTTACTGTGAGAGTGACTGAGCACTGGAGCAGGTTGCAGAGTCTCCATCCTTGGAGATGCTCAAAAGCCATCTGGACACAGTCCTGGGCAACCAGCTCTAGGTGGCCCTGCTTGAGCAGGGGGCTTGGACCAGATGACTTCCAGAGTGAATTTTCTTACTTCACATAATTTTATGTTCTGTGAGTTAAAATGCAGTAAACAATACATTTCTGCCAGTTGTATGTATTTTATTAATTATGCCTTTGCATCGTCCCTTTTCCCCTTGACAATCACAGAGTATTCCCTTTATCCATCTATTTCATATACTGATTTTTGCCCAGGAATTACATTAAATGTAATTAAATTAAATGGGGGGGGGGGGGGGGGAAAAATAATCAATATTTTTACTGTTCTACTGTTCTGCTCCGACCCTTAAAAAACACTTTCCCAAAGTAACCACAGTAAAGCACAGTAAAGCAGCTGTACAGTACAGACAACTGAAATGTAAAGCTTTAGACCCTTTGCTGAACTATGAGTAATGCGTTTCCTATAAGTTTAATTCTGTGGCTTTAGAAATAACAGGAGCTTTCTAATAAGATATTGAAGAACTGATGCTACTGTGAAAACTTAGGTTTATTTTTAAGAGATTTCTAAAACTGTATTTTGCAAGTTTCATCAAAGTTAATTTTTCCTTTTGATTTACTTTTCAGTACAATATCCCAAACAGACACTGAAAATAATGTGTCGGAGGAGGAAAAAAGTAACAGAATTTTTAACTTTTTACTAAATAGCAATAATTTCTTATTGCTGTTTAGGGCATAAAGAAACAAAGATAAAATACGTCTTGCATTAGTTGCTGGTACCACTTCTGTTTTAGCCTTTTCAGCACTGGTGAAATGCACCACTGGATAAATTGAAAATGAAAAATTTTATTTGTCTGCTGGTAATTATATGTCACAATTAAGATATTTTGTCTTCCTAACTAGTATGTTCCAAAGACATCCTCTCACTTAGTCATTTATTTACTTGATTCTGTGTATTAAAATTATCTTGCAGAACAAAGTGAAACAAATTGTCTTGCTGGGCAAAATGAAACACAGCATCAGATACTATTTAATATAAATCTTAATTTCCAAGTTCATGTTTCCAGTTGCACACAACATTGGACATAAATGAAATAACGTTATTAGAAAAGATATGCTCCAAATGTAATAGTAGCTCTAGTGACCAAATTGCATAAATGGGTGGAAATAGATAGCTTTCCAAAAATAAGTTCTGTGATAAAATAATTGATTTTGGGGCTCTAGAAATTTTAATGAAAAGTGTCCTTACCCAAAGGCTGGACTACCTTTAAAATCATAACTTTTATAAACACAAGATAAACAGTTATGGTCTCTTTGCTCTTTTACATGATATAAACAATTGATGTTAGATGGCTGCTCTGCAATTGTTCATATCTGTGAAGCTGATATTTGCTCTCATTATAAAATAACTTCAAAACATAGAATGTGTCATCTCCTCAGAAAGGGACTTTTTTTTTCTGAAATGTACAAGAGCTTTTGCAGCACTCAAAAGCATTATGTGAACAACACGGTAGAAATTAATAATTAAAGCACATGTCGTAATAATGAAGGAGATCATATTCTTGCTACTCATAACAGTCATTCTAAAATATGCGATAAGTATTGACAGGCTTGGTTTTAGTTTTCCACTTATGAAGTGATACAAACCCTGGATGAATGTGCAATAAACTAACTGAATAATCTGTACACACCACCAACTAAATGATGAATGCAATGGTAAAATGTGAGACAATGCTATAGATATGAGCATCTTCAGAAAACTTTTCAAATCGAGTTTACTTTTCTCTTAACGTCACGTACAGCACACTTGATTTCTGCGTAAGTGGAGATTTCCCTCGACTGAGAAATTGAAGACTTTACAGCCAGGCTTTGGTTTCCATTGCACAAATTGCCCCAAAGCATGTTTATCCTCTGCCCAAGAAATACATGATTTTGGTTCCAAGATAGGAATATAGACCTTTCTGTCAGAAGACACACGCAAAGAACTGTCTTTGCCAGTCTGAAGGGAGGCTCTGTACTACTTCACTTAGTTTTCTTCTTCACCATCCATAAAATCTTTACAGGCTCCTATATCCTGAGCATATGGTTACTTTCAGCAAACGGTTACACAATATCAATCCAAATTTTTTCTTCTAAAACTTAGTGGCATTTCAAGACTTTTTTTTTTTTTTTAATTTTTATTAAGTTTTAGTAAGTTTTGAAGTCAAAACAACTGGGATGAATGCCAGGAGTAAAAATTAAAACCTCAGAGTAAAACTAGTGGTTTAACTGACCATACACAGGCATGTAGTTCCATTTGAGATCCATTAGGATATAAAACCAGAATAGCTGGGGTTGGAAAACATCTCTGGAGATCATCCAGTCCAACACCCCTGCTCAAAGCAGAATCAGCTAAAGCAGATTGCTCAGGGCCGTGTCCAGTTGGATTTTGAGTATCTCCACGGATGCAGAATCCACCACCTCTCCGGGCAACCTGCTCCAGTGTTCAATCACCCTAACGGTTAAAAAATAAAACATAATAAAAATTCTTTATGTTTAAAGGGAACTTCTTGTATTTCAATTTGTGCCCATTGTCCTGTCACTGGAAACCACTGAGAAGAGTCTGTCTCCATGGGCTTTACCTCCCCCATCAGATATGTCTATACATTGATAAGATCCCCCCGAACCTTCTCTTCTCCAGGCTAAACAAGCCCAGCTCTTGCAGCCTCTCCTCATATGAAAGATGCTCCAGTACCTTAATCATCTTTGTGTCTCCTCCCTGGACTCCAGCATGTCCATTTCTCTTGTACTGGGGAGCCCGGCACTGGACTCGCCACTCCAGCTGTGCCTCACCAGTGCTGTGTAGAGAGGGAAGATGACCTCCCTCGACCAGCTGGCAATGCTCTTCCTAATGCAGCCCAGGGCACTGTTGGTTGCCTTTACCATAGGGGCACATTGCTGACTTCTGTTCACCTTTTTGTCCACCAGGACACCCCAGATCTTTTTCTGCAAAGCTGCTTTCCAGCCAGTCAACTCCCAGCCTGTCCTGGTACATGGAGTTATTCCTTCCCAGGCACAG